GTGTGTGTGTGTGTGTGTGTGTGTGTGCGTGTTGTGTGTGTTTGTAAGTACATATACGTATATATATATATATATATATGTGTGTGTGTGTGTGTATCTATCTATCTATTCATCTATCTCTAAATACCTAACTACTTTTACATATTGATAAGTATATATATATATATACATATATATATACACGAATTTTATATATATATATATATGTGTGTGTGTGTGTGAGTGAGTGTGTGTGTGTTTGTATGTATATATACGTATATACATATATATATGTATATAAAGTTATATATATAATTATACTTACGCACACACACACACGCATATATATATATATATCGACGGTTAGTAAATCACACTAAATACTACTCCGTTGCATTCTCGTGCCGCACCATTCCGGCTCGTTCATCTCTCGCCACCGTATGCGCTTCTGACATATTCTGAAATTGAATCCACACCAAACATTCCACACAGCACGGGCGTTTGAAAGTAAAAGAACCCGCGGTTATCGCAGAGGCCAAGCGGAAAGAACGGCTCGAGAAACAGCGCAAGTACAATGCCCTGACCAAAATGGTATTGGCCAACAAAGCCGAAAAGGTCTACACAAATAGTGCCCTAAAATTGTCCGAAAAACTGTTGGTGGCTAATCCCGATTTCTACACCGCCTGGAACTACCGACGAGAAGTACTGATGGATTGGCAAAGTGGGGACCGTATCAGTCAGGAAACAGGTGCGTGGGCTGTTTGCTTCTGCTGAACTGTGTGTATCTGTCCGTGCTTTACATACATTTGTGATTATCTCTATTGTTTATTATAGATACGCTACCTTAAAGGGGGTAGTCCATAGGTGCGCGTGTACAGTTGGTATGTGACTTCAATGTGACTTCAAGTATTATGGTTGTATGTATGTGCATGTTTGTGTGTATGGCTGAGTGTTGTGTAATTATGCGTGAACTATGTGTGTACCTGTCGATGGTTGTGTGCTTGTTCAGACAGTATGCGACTTCAAGTGTTATGGTTGTATACATGTGCATGTTTGTGTGTATAGGAGTTGTCAGCGTGACAATGTATTGTGAGAAACAGATACGCTGGGTTGTTTTGGGGTTTAGGGTTTTGTTAACGTTATTGTTAACGTTATTGTTAACGTTAATGCTAACGTTAATGTTCGCGTGAGTTTGAATGTTCGTGTTCACGTTCGGCGTTACCGTTAGCGTTAGCGTTTGCCACCAGCAATTGCACATAAGCCCTAGTCAGTAGTTAAGGTCGCAAATTGTAGTCCCCGGTGTGCCGAGCTCTAGGAGTGTAAACTATACTTCTCGTTGCACCACTCCGTCGAGGTTGGGTGTAATGCCCAAGCAGAATGGGATATATTACAAATGCCGTGCTCATGATATCAAACCAGCGAGCTCAACACCAACTCATAGGACAACGTGAAAGTGTGCTAAAAATAAATGGTATCACGTACAGGTATAACATAATTAGCACCCAAGTGTTTAATGCATTTATCTCAGTTGTCAATTTGACCTGGGTAGATGGCAAGTCAAAAGCTTCGACTGGCTGCACTCCAACAGTGTACACTCTATTTCGTCCCCAGTGAGCTCAACTCCAACTCATAGTACAACTTGAAAGTGTGCTAAGAATAAATGGTATCACGAACAGGTACATTATTATTAGCATCCAAGTGTTTAATACATTTATCTCAGATGTCAATTTGACTTGATCTGGACGATATAATTTCAAGGATAAGGTGTGTTACACATGAATGTTATAAAATATACTAAGCATCGACTATCATCACGTACAGGTAAATCATTCGACGACGTAAGGTTAGAGGAACTCAATCTAACGCAACTCTGCATACAGCGTCAACCCAAGTCGTATGTGGCCTGGACACATCGGCAATGGACCGTTCTGTTCGGGTCTAAACTACAAACCAGGTACAAGCCCATGTTGCCGTATAAGGACACTTGCACCCACCCCGCCGCGGGGTCTGAGACAACCCCAGAGGTGTGTTATTTGTTTGTTTTTACCTTGTGGAGATAAATAAATACTTTATGTAGAGAAAGTATCAGTGCCGCCTGCGACAGGGATCTGGTTTACACGTTTGAAACGATTTTGTAACTGACACGTTTGAAACGATCAGTTGAGTGTCCTGATGAATGGCATCGTCTATAACGTATTGCAGTTTATTCTAGAGCCATAGGATGCATGAAATACCTTCAACGTGGGGGGCTAAACTAGTATTGCTATTTTCATTCACTTTGACGCCAAAAATGAACCCAAGGCCAGGAATCGACCCTAAAAGATAAAAAAAGCATATACCCTAAGCATAGTTCTGCCAGCTCACATGACACCTGTATAGTAATTGACTGAGACCGTGAGTCGGGCTTGTGCACCTCTTTCTGAAATTAGACTTGCGTAATATCCACTCTTCGGACTACACTTAAATCTATCCCCTGAATACAAAGCCAAGTTTAAACTTTAGCCCTAATGTTTCCTATGCAGGACGCCTGCATAGTAATCGACTGGGGCAGTGAGTTGGGTTTGTGTACCTCGTTTCTCAAATTGGACTCTCGTAATTTCCACTGCTGGGACTATCGCCGCTGGGTGGTGAAGACTGCTACACGGTACATGTGGGTGTGCTAGGAATTTATATGCATTGTTTAAGTATTACATGCATCTGAGCTGCTGGTAGCAACTGTGTGCTGTGTGTGGGTGTACTTTCACCTGAACAGTTGTATGCCGTGAGTGTGCTCTGCAGTTGAAGTCTATTGCTCAAATATTACTTGCATCTGAGCTGCTGCGGTACCAACTGTGTACAATTGATGTGTATGTGCCTTCGAATACGTGAACAATTTTATACTGTGGGCGCACGTGAGTCTGATGTGCAACACTCCAGAAGTACATGTATTACAGTTGCTTGGCTAATATATGTACAAGGAGCTAAGTTTTTCGTACTGAACATCCCATGCATGTAGCTGAAAGTAGTTGGGGGTAGTATACATCCGCCTATCTCGCACGCGTCTTGTATGTATGTAGTGAGCTCAGGGCAGTATATAGTAGAAATACTTTTATCATCAGGTATACTGTTATATAGTATTGGACACTTATCCATAACTCGTGTCTGTATTTGAGACATATTTTTGCAAGGGTTTGAGAGTCCTCACAAAAAATTTAACTTTCGACCCCAGCAATAGTCCAACCTACTATTATTTCACCTCCCACCCCCCTTTATATATCTATATCTATATCTATATCTATATATATATATCTATATATATATCTATATATATATATATATATACATATATATATATATATATATGTATATATACATATATATATATATGTGTGTGTGTGTGTGTGTGCATGTGTGTGTGTGTGTATGCAAGTATGTATGTATTTTTATGTATGTATGTATGTATGTATGTACGTATATATATATATATACATATATATGCATATATATGCATATATATATTTACATATATATATATA